TTTTTTTTTTTTTTTTTTTGGGATGGGGGAACCAGGGATTGAACTCAGGCCCTTGCACTTGCCAGGCAAGTGCTTATTCTACTGAGCTATCTCCCTGGGCCTTCCTCTTCTTGACAAGGAGATTCAAAATGAAAGCCCTGAAGCCAGGCCGCGTGGAAGCACCCTGCAGTCTCCTGAGGGCGTCCGACAGGGAGCTGTGTGGAGCCCCACAGAGGAGGAGTGGCACCAGACCCTGCAGGCTCCAGGACCCGAGAGACCCAAGCTGGTCTCGTTGGGCCTCAGTGCAGGTGACATCAGACTCTTCTGGGGACTCCAGAGAGCAGTGCCAACACCGTGCTCATGGTCATTGTGTCACAGGCCCTGCCTTAGCTCTGGTCTATGAGAGTCAAGGTGATGGCCACTGTGCTTGCTCCGATAGACACACCGGAGCTGTGGAAACAGTGTTACAAACCCACTAGAGCTGGGCACAACGGCCCACGATTGTAATCCCAGCTACTCAGGAGATGGAGGTAGGAGGATTGTGAGTTTGAGGCCAGGCTGGGCAACTTTACAAGACTGACTCAACGACAACAACACAACAACAGAGCAGACCAACTGAAGGCTTGCTGTGGTATAAAGGAACACATACTTAATCCTGTAGGGCCCTGATGCCTCCCCTGCCCTGCCCTCCCTTTTCCCCCTTCCACACTGGAGACTGAACTCAGGCCCTTCCCACTGAGCTAGTCCTTGTTTGTTTTATCTTTGAGACAAGGTCTCTCTAAGCTGCCCCAGGCTGGACCTGAACTTGTGAGCCTCCTGCCTCAGCCTCCCAGAGAGCTGGGATCATGGGTGTGTGCAGGTGGCAGATGAGATTTTCTGGCCTGAGTCTCCTGTGACATATCACCCAGGAATCAAGGACAAATGCTTCTACTACAGCAGGGCCAGCCGAAGCCCTACATTGCAGGAGCACTTTTCAATGTAATAAAACGATTCAAACTACACACACACACACACACACACACTTTTTTTTTTTTTTTTTAGTGGAACCAGGGATTGAACTCAGGTCCTTGCGCTTGTCAGGGAAGCGCTTATTCTATTGAGCCATTTCCCCGGCCCTCAACACACACACATTTTTTTTTTAAATTTATTTATGTGTGTGTGTGTGTGTGTGTGTGTGTGGCCAGCTCAGCCCACCAGGGGGCGGGGCTGGCTGGCATGTGGTGCTGGGGGTTTGAACCGCGGTCCCTGTGCTTTGCTAAGCTTGTTCTAAGTAGGTGCTTTAGACCACTGAGCCATCTCACCAGCCCCACACACACATTTTTAAGAAAGTAAAATTAGGCAATTTTTCTTTTGAGGAACAAAGAGGAAGAGATTAATTTTAGAAACTTCTTATCGGGTGAAACAGAGACGATGTCTCCCGGCCGATAAATCACACCCTGGTCTCTGCCACTCACTGAGCAGCAAGGGTCAAGTAATTTTTCTTAAAGGGACTAATATGATCAATTTGCTAGAAAAGAGTCAAAGCGGGAGAAAAATGAGGGATTCTAGTTCCCCAAAGACCTGCGGTGTTTTAGGCACAAATTCACCATGGTAGCATCAGGTCAGGCACTAGGCCAGGAAGAGCCAGGGCCGTAGGGCAGGTGTCACAGTAAACGTGTCCTTCAGCTTCCCAGGCTCCTTCTCTTCCACGCAGCACCCCTGTGTGGCTGCTGTCCTTCGAGCTCCCTCATGAAATTAAAGTCATTGTTGCCCCTTCACGCACAAGGGCTGGGAACTACGGGTTCCTCGCAGGGTCACACAGCTAGAGGGCGGCAGAGCCCCGGTATATCCCCGGGGTGTGTTAGAGCCCAGCGCTAAGGCGCTGCTGCAGCAAGTGAAAACTGCTGTGGCCCAAGCATGCATGGTTTTATCTTACAGTGCTGAGGGTCATGTGCCGAAGGCAGGCCACCTTCAAGAAGCTCTGGGAGGATCGGCCTCCGTGCATTTGCCAGCACTGGGAAGCTGCCTGTGGCCCTTGGCTTGTGGCCCCTCCCTCCTCCACCGTCAGGGCTGGAGTGCAGTGTCTTCAAGTCACCCTCACTCGGTGACACCTGCTCCTAGCACATCTTTTCCTACTCCGCCCCCACCTCCTGCTGCCGCGCTTATAAAGATGTGTGTGGGTATACCCAGGCCACTTGGACAACTGGGTCATCTCCCTGTCTCCCGGCTCGCTTTCTTTCTTTCTTTCTTTCTTTCTTTCTTTCTTTCTTTCTTTCTTTCTTTCTTTCTTTCTTCCTTTCTTTCTTTCTTTCTTTTTTTCTTTCTTTCTGTATTTAGGACAGGGCACACAGGGTGTACACAGTCTCACGACATCCATCGGACTCTTGTGATCTTTCTGATGGCCTCCCAAACGCAGGGAGGACAGGCGTCTTTCCCTGACTTTTCCCCTTTCATTATTCTGTCATATTTTGATGGCATGAATTGGAGGGGAACAGCACGTAGACAGAGCAGACAATCTGAACAATACACAACAAGAAAGGGAGGTGGGGTACAGATCCCCTCGGTCTCTCACAGCTGTCAAGCGTACTCAGGAAAGACCAACCCGGGTGGTTCTATTGTATCCCAGGAAGGTGCCGAAGCCCAAGTTCCTGCAAATGTGACCGTGTTGGGAAATGAGGTCTTTTAAAGACTATTTATTTATGTAACTTAATGAGCATGCGTTCGCAGTGCTCAATGCTTACATTCCTGGAGAGGAGCCGGCACATTCTGCGGATGATCCAGTTAAGGTGAGATCCGCGGACGCCCCAGCCTGTGTGACTGTTTCCTGTACTTGAGCCCCGAGACAGACTCACAGAAGGAAGACACAGGCGGGAGACACGCACAAGGCAGGAGGGCGCTGGGGGAGCAGTCCAACCCCCCTCACACCTCCATGCTGGACCGCTGGCCTTCCGCATTGTAAGACAATACCTTCCTGATGCGGAAGCCACCCCAGCTCATGAGGCTCTTGGTACAGTGGACCTTAGAATCAAAGGCGAGCAGGTGGCGGTGTGTGTGTGTGTGTGTGTGTGTGTGTGTGTGTGCTGTGGCTTGCTCTGTTCTGTTTGGCATAAATGGAGTCTAAAGGCCCAAGTCCCGAGGAGGCCGTCACCTTGCGCCACACTGACCTTCGTCATAGTGCTGAACGGTGTGAGTGGATATGATCACTGGTGTCCCGTTCTGAACACACTCGTGGCCGGATGTCACCTAAAACACAGCAGGGGCCATGGTTGGGGGACAGTGGGACAACTCCCGAGAGAAGCCACTGGTCAACCTCACAACAAACTGAACTGAAACGCCACGCCTGGGGGCTCTGGAGCGCTTCGGAGGGGCCTTGGTTTCCCGTTCCTCCCCATACACCTCCTGCTACCCTTGCTTTCTTCTTGCCTGGCCCCTGGCGGCCCAGTGTAACCAACTTAGCTGGGCTTGGAATCATTCAGGGGGCTGGAGAAATGCCCCGTGCCCACCCCCACCCAGCGATTGTGCTCACAGCTGCTCCCGGGATGGGGCTGCCACAGAGTTTCCAGGCATCCCAGACACTGCCAACATGCATTTGGGGATGACGCCCATAGGGCCCATAGGGCCAGCATCTATCTATGTTCTTAAGCTGTTTTTTTCAAATGCAACCTTGTGCTCGGCTCAGAAATTCCCTCTGCGGTATGATCAATACTGCTTCAAGCTATCTGCCCTGTAGGGATTTCCAGATTTATCTGTGCTCCAAGTGTTAAGCTTGAATTGAAAAAAAAGCGCTTCTGGTAAAAACTCAGGCTTTCTTCTTTTCAGGAGGAGTTCCAAAAAGAAGTGTTTGGGTTTGGGGCCTCTGTCCTCGAGAGCAGAATGCTCAGGCGACCCCTGCCCAACTGTTCTTGACCTTGGTGGGCTGTCCTCATGGTGGGAGCCTTTGGTGAACTCAGCCTGCCTCAGGCCTAGGAAGTCTCGCCTTGATTGGTCTAGAGGGCAAGCCAGCATTTAAAGTTTGGAAGTTTGCCAATATGCAGCTGAGATCTCCAACTCCTGATCTACATGTGGGGGTCTCACCCTCAGCAATGGCCATGCAGGTGAGACCATTCTTGGGCACGGGGTCCAGACCTGCGCACCACGGACTGTGGGCGCACTCCATGCAGCTCTGGTGCCTTGGCCTAGAAGCCAGAAGTTGGGACTATCAAAAATATCTCCAGGGATTGCTTAAACAGAGCAGTCGGTCTCAGGTTGCTGTGGTTCGATCCCCAGATGCTCAAACCAAACCAGACCTGCCCTGAAGGCATCCTGAGCCAGCAACCCCCCCGCAAAAAAAAAAATATCTCCAGGGCTAGCCAGATAGCTTAGCAGGTTAAAGCACCTGCTTAGGCAGATACAGGGACTGAGTTCTATACCCTGTGTGTTGTGTTGGCCCTGCCCCCAGGGCACACTGAAAGGCGACTGAGACTGGGTGTGGTGGCATGCACCTGTAATCTCAGCGCTTGGGAGGCTGCAAACAGGAGGATCACTAAGAGTCTGACGGTGTAGTGAGACCCTGTAGACCTTGTATTAAATACAAAAAATTAAAAAAAAAAAAAAAACAACAACAACAAACAAAAATGCAGGTGTCCGCCTGTAGGGGGAGCAGCAGAGGGAGGGGGGTCACAGAACCCGAGGGCTGGGTTTCCTAGGCATCGCCGGTGGAGGGTCTTAGACACAAGCTCCCAGGACTCCTGGCTCTGCGATTGCTGCTTCACTTCTAAGTGGCATCTCCGAACCCGACCTTTTTTTTTTTTTTTTTTGGCGGAACCGGGGATTGAACTCAGATCCTTGCGTTTGCCAGGCAAGCGCTTATCCTACTGAGCCATCTCCCCGGCCCCGAACCTGCCCTTTTAACCCGTGCCATTCATAGTGGATACCAGAGATCCTACCACGGTGGAACAGCACGAGAACAGCGCCGGGAGCCCCCAAGCCCGGCCCCGTGGCTGCTCCTCCTGTCCCGCTGTGAGCCGCAGTGGCCCGGGATGCCCGCCGCGCTACCTTGTAAGTGCCCGCTTCCCCTCCGTGCTGCTCGTCTTCAGCCCTCTGGGGGACGCTCAGCTGGTTTCCCATTGTCCCTGCGATGGAAAGCGGAGAGAGGGAGGGAGAAAGAGATCAATACTAAACCCGAACGAAAGTCCTTTTTATTGCATCATATTTATCCATCTCTCTGGATATTTTCATGGCCCTTAATAAAAAGATTTTAAGAGGTTCTCAGTTCAAACTCATGATAGGAAGGGGTGTGAGACAGAAGACCCAAATGCTGACGAGATGGCAGCTCTCCTATGTGGTCAGTGGGTGCATAAAGCGGCCCAGCCGGAAGTCCTACACCCGTGTGAGAAGCAAAGGCACGGCCCCTGGCCAGTTTTTACAAGCCCAGGTTAGAACAAGTTGCTTGAACTGCACGTGCAACAATTAAAGTCAAATGCAGCCTTCAATTTCAATTGCATTTCATTCTGGGTGGGGCATTTATTGTCTTGAGAAAGTAATTACAAATAATAAAATTTTCTTCCCTTTTAGCTGCTTTCACAGCTATCCTATCAGAGACCCAAGCATGAAAATAATTATAATAATTGTACTTTTTTTTTTTTTTTTTTTTTTTTTTTAGCTTTCTCTGATCCTCAAACTGAATTAATTCCTGCTCAAACCCTCACTTATGCCCTTCATAGCCATCTTTGGGGGAGCTGTTTGGCGTCTCCACACTTCACAGGATGATAGCAGCGATCGAGGCCAAAGGCTGAGCATGGGGTCAAAACAATGCCGGGCAGGCGTGTCAGCTTCTCTCTGACCCCAGGAGGGGGCTGAGGCTCAGAAGCCTGCAGACCTTCCGCAGATCACCTAGATAGAGACACAGCGCTGTGAGCCTCCCCCCGGTGTCCAGCATCAGCTCCCCTGAGGCGGGCACTGAGCTCCCAGAGGTCCCGGAGGCGCAGGTCTGCAGCACGGCCCACTGAGGACTCAGGCTGCGGTCTGCACTTGTCTGACTCCAGAACTGGGCCCTTTCCCTCCTCCACTCCCGTTGGTGCCTGAGGTTCCTTCCAACACATGCATTTGGCTCTGACACGACAGGGTCTCTCTTTGTAGCCCAGGCTGGCTTCAAATTTGTAGTGGTCCTCCTGCTTCAGCCGCCCAGGAGCTGGGATTACAGGTGTGCGCCACTACCTTCTCTGGACCCCTAACAGCCAGCACGTGTGATTCCAGGACTGTGGGTCCTGACAGCAGCGGATGTGCCTGCGAAGATTCCTGTGGCTTTACACCCTGCGTATAGAGGTCTACTCCCCTATAATAGACACTGTGAGTAACCAGAAGTTAGAGAGGGCAAGGAAGGCCATGCCTGCCACCACCCGCGCTGTTGGAGGAACGTGGCCCACAGCCAGTCTGGGGACTTTCTGTGTTTTCTCATCACGCGCACGACGAAGCTGAGCACTGCTAAAGCCTATGTGGTGCTTGCTAGCGTGCCAGGGCTTCTTCCTATAAGATGCACGAGAGGCGTCCTGAGAGGAGCTTGGCGCTTTCCGCCGGTGTGCGGGCATTCCACACGGGCCGTGATGTGTCCAGACCAAGGACAGTGAGCGAGAGAAGTGGCCTGATTCAGCTCACTCTTGGTTCCAGGGTCCCTACTGGGCTAAGGGTGGGCTTTACATTTATAAATGTAAATGTAAAAAATCAGAAGAAAAACATAAAATATGGTATGTGTCAATTTTATGAGTCAAATTACAGCATTTATAAATCAAGTTGTGCTGCAAAACAGTGGTACTTATCTATCTATGAGCTATATTTCTATTGTCTGTCTGTCTGTCTGTCTGTCTGTCTGTCTGTCTGTCTGTCTATGTGGTACTGGGGTTGAACCCAGGGAACCCTGAGCTATATGCCCAACATTTTAAATTTACTTATTATTATTATTATTATTATTATTATTATCATTATCATTATTATTTATTTTTCCCTTTCTTTTGGTACCAGGAATCAAACTCAGGACCCCATACTTGCCAGGTAGGCACCTTGCCACTGAGCTAAATTCCAGGCCTTTTATAATTATTATTTTTCAAAATGTTGAGACAGCCTTGTTAAGTTGCCCAGGCTGGCTTTGAACTTACAGTCCTCCTCCCTCAGCCTCTGACTAGCTGGGATAACAGGCAGGTGCCACCATACCTGCCACCAGTACCCATGTGCTAATTTTTTTTTCCTTTGGTGGTACCAGGGATCGAACTCAGGACCTTGTGCTTTCCACACAAGCACTTATTCCACTGAGCTCTCTCCCCGGGCCGCTGCTAATGCGTTTCATTGATTATGGATGCTGGCTTGCTGTCAGGCCAGACTAAAGCTTGGTGACAGTGTGCTTGCAGACTAGGAGGTTTGCAAAACTTGAGCTACCTTCTATCTGAGTCTCTACGCTACAGGGAGTTCACTAACCTTGCTCAGGATAGCTCTGGGTAGCACCACGTACCCATGTGCCAAGTAAGGGGATCGAGTCATTCAAGAGGCTGAGTGCTGCTGCTAGTAAGGCTGACCAGGATTTGAACCTACTGCGTCCAAGCACAACAACAACAATTTTAATAAGCACAATTATAACATAATATTAGTGACATTGGCTGTGTGCTCATTTTGTGTTGAGTGTGACCTGCAGTGTCACAATTTACTTCTTGTAACAAATCAGCCAGGTTGTGATGTCATCCCTCATGTTCAGGTAGGGAGACTGAGTCATACATGCACATGAAACAACAATGTTTTCTCACACGCCAGAATGATGTTTCCATCTAAATTTAGCCCCCAAAAGGTTAAAAAGCTTCAAGTTCATAAAAGGGAAAAACTGTACAAGAGAAATTCTTCTTTTTAAAAGTCTGTTCTTTTGATACTGCCTAGCTCTGTAACTGCTTCAGGCCTTTGTAATTACTTTGCTGATGTCTGTAACCACAAGAGCATAAGGAACACGCAGGATGCCTGAGTGGACCACTGCACCGGGCTTCGTCAGCTGATGCCTGTTGATCCTCCCTCGTAACTGACGCTCTCACCCAGCTAGCTCACCAGCAGCCTGCCGGGCCGGGCTGCTGTGCTTCGCCATTGGACCTCCTGCTTGGGCATCAAATAAAAGCCCTAGGCCACCAGAGATCTGGGCCTGGTAATCTCGAAATCACCCTCATCAGGGCCTGTCGATACAAACAAATCTGCCTCCCGGGCATCCTCTTGGTGTTTCTGCAGGCCGCTGCATTCCCGCTATTCAACTTTAATTGGATTCTCTTTGGGGGACACAGCCACGAAGTGCATGAGGTTACGACGTATCTTGGGGCTGGGTTCCCTGTGCAGCAGGAGAGAAGCCTTTCCATTCCACCAATCAGGGATTGCAGGATGCTAAACACTGCGCGTTCTAAGTAGCCTCTCAATAAACTCAGGGCAGAAAGGGCCGCAAGAAGGAGGATCCCGCCACATGCCCGCTGCAGCAGGCACCTCGGATCCTGTAATCCTGCTTTTCACCACCAAAGCTAACGTACTTGTGACGTCCCCGCTTGCCGGTCCATCTTAAAGAGCAGATTTATATGAACAAAAACGAAAGGTTACCGCCACCTATCGGCAGGAGTAAGCATAACATGGGGAGGATGACCAGCCCCTTGATGGTTGCCAAGGAAACCTGCCAACAGCTGGCAAGAGGAAGGGTGTGGCCAGCTCGGCACTAGCTGGCCTGTGCCAAGTGTCTGAATGGCGTGCACTGCAGCACGGGAACACGAACATGGACTCTGGAGCTGGGAATGTCTGCTCACCGCATATGGGAAGTGTGACCTTGGATGTGCTTCTGCTCCTCCCAGAGCCTCAGTTTCCTCATCTGTAAAGTGGGGACTATAGCAGGCTCCATGTCAAGGGTTGTAGTGAGTTCATGTATTAAATGAGTTCAGGTATGCAAGGTGCCCCAAGCAGGGCCTGGCCTACGCTAAGGTCCACGCACGTCCTGGCACGACTAGGGTTAGCATTCATTACCATTGCTGTGCTCAGTCAGTTTCCTGTAATGTAGTCTGGTTGGGAGGATCCAGCCAGGAGTCTAGCAGTGTGATTCCCATAATCCTCTCGCTGGGGTTGGGGCCCTGGAGTTTGCATTTTCTCCAAATGATTCTCACGATCACCTGTCGGGACGGTTCTGGTTTGTCCCACGGGTGGGAGTACTCTGGGATCCAGGATTTTCATGTTCAAACTGCAAAGTCCTGGACAAAGCAGAGTGACGCGTGGTGCCTGGTGAGCCACCGGAGGACCCACAGGCAGGGACCCTTCTTCTGCTCCTTTAAAGCTGGGGAAGATTGCTTATAGACTGGAAGTCAGAAACTTAGTTCTCTTTCCCATCTTGCAAGATGGTGGGTGAAAAAACTGAGAAGCCAGACACTAAAGAGAAGAAACCCAAAGCCAAGAAGGCTGCTGCCAGTGGTACTGGCAAAAAGGGTAAGGTGAAGAAGGCAAAAAAATCAAGAAGGGGCAGCCCCACTGCAGCCCAAATCCTGTCCTGGTCAGAGGAATTGGTAGATACTCCCGATCTGCTAGGTATTCCAGAAAGGCTTTGTACAAGAGAAAGTACACAGCTGCTAAATCAAAGATTGAGAAAAAAAGGGAGAAAGTTCTTGCTATGATCACAAAACCGGTCAGTGGGGACAAGAATGGAGGTAGCCGGGTGGTTAAGCTTTGAAAAATGCCTAGATACTACCCTAGTGAAGATGTGCCCCGAAAGCTCCTGAGCCACGGCAGGAAGCCCTCCAGTCAGCACTGAGGAAACTTGGAGCTAGCATCACTCCTGCACCATCTTGTTCATCCTCACCAAGTGTCCAGAGGCAAGAGAGTGGTCTTCCTGCAGCAGCTGGCCCAGTGGCTTGCTACTTGTGACTGGGCCTCCTAGCCTTAATCGTGTTCCTCTGAGAAGAACACACCAGAAATTTGTCATTGCCACCTTCAAAAAATTGATATTGGCAAAGTGAAAATCCCCAAACACCTCACTAATGATTACTTCAAGAAGAAGAAGCTGTGGAAGCCCAGACACCAGGAGGGTGAGATCTTCGGCACAGAGAAAGAGAGATACCAGATTTCAGAGCAGCGCAAGGTGGAT